ATCTTGCGGAGGACGGTCCCATGGCCTTCAGGGTACATGTTTATGTCACGACTGCAAATTAATTTATATATGACAGTTCCAAGTGTTTTCGAAAAAAAAAAACCGTGGAGCTCTAGGATCAGTTCCATACATTGACCACTTTTACGGATTTTTCGGATCTTTCGGAGGATAGTCCGATGGCCATCTGGGTCCATGTTTATGTCACGATCCCAAAATCATTCTAATATCACAGTTCCTAACGTTTTCAAGAAAACCACGGAGCTCTCGGATCAGTTTAGAGAATTTTCCACTTTCACGGATGTTCCGGATCTTCCAAAGGACGGTCTCATGGACATCAAGGTCCATGTTTAGGTCACGACCCCAAATTCATTCTGTTATCTCAGTTCTTAGTGTTTTTTTTTTCAAAAACTGCGGAATTTTTCGGATCTTCCGGAGGACGTTCCGATGGCCATCTGGGTCCATGTTTATGTCACGATCCCAAAATCATTCTAATATCACAGTTCCTAACGTTTTCAAGAAAACCACGGAGCTTTAGGATCAGTTTCGTTAATTTTCCACTTTCTCGAATGTTCCGGATCTTCCGGAGGATGGTCCTATGGGCGTTCAGGTTCATGTTTATGTCACAACCCCAAATTCTTTCTATCATCACAGCTCCTAATGTTTAAAAAAACGCGGAGCTCTAGGATAAGGATCGTGGATTTACCACTTTCACGGATGTTCCGGATCTTCCGGAGGACGGTCTCATGGCCATCAAGGTCCATGACCTAAATTCATTCTTATATCACAGATCCTAATGTTAAAAAAAACACGGAGCTCTAGGAGAAGTTTCATGGATTGTCCACTTTCACGGATGTTCCGGATCTTCCGGAGGACGGTCTCATGGCCATACAGGTACATGTTTATGTCACGGCCCCAAATATTTGTTTATATCACAGTTCCTAATGTTTTCAAAAAAAAAACCGCAGAGCTCTAGGATCAGGATCATGGATTGACCATTTTTACGGATGTTCTGGATTTTTCGAGGACCGTTCTGTTGTCTCTAGGATCCATATATAGGAACCATCACTGTATTCTGGCTAATTGTGAACATTTGTGCCCATTATTCTAAATTACAGATCTTGCGCCACTTGCAAAACCCTACAAACACACCTTTCAAAAAAACGTGTAACAACTCTTTTCACTTTTTAAAAAAGTAGACGACTTTATTTTCAAGTGTTTTGCAATCAAAATCATCTAGAAACCCTAGGAATTCTAAAGGTACCACAATTTTTGAAATTCATTAAGAAATGGCTAAGTTGTGTTGCCGTTACACGTTTTTCGGAGGCATCGTATTCGGAGTGTTAATGTACTTCAACGCAAGACTAAAATAGTACGGGACTCCCAAAAACCAAACCCCTCAACCAATACACAAACTTCTCAAGCATCAGATTTTTCAACAGTGAAATGCTGGAATTGTCAAAAGACAGGACAACACTGGAGATCCTGCAAGGAGCCAAAACTAATTTTTTGTTACGCTTGTGGAAACATTGGTCGAATCACAAGAACATGTGAGCGCAATCACCCCCAATCTTAGCCTTATGCTAACAAACAAAATTCCACAAATTCTCAACAGCAATCGTTAAACTAGATGCGGGGTGCACTGAGCGGAACCCGTCCATCTCGCAAATATTAAAATTGGTCCCCAAAACCAACAGCTCTGAGCAATTTAAAAAGTATCAAGAAACCTTGCATATAAAGGTCAACCCTAACGTTTGTCCAAGAATACGCGTTGCTATTTTGGACACAGATATAATCGCTTTATTAGACTGTGTTGAGAAGTGTTGATATTTTGGATATCAACGGACAACCCATGATCAATTTAATCTCCGCAGATCATAATCGACAATTGAACCCTACCGACATAGAATCAGAAATCTGTCTAACGATATGTTCATTAGAACTAACAGAAAATGAGAACATCCTTACTCATAAGCCACAACCAGAACAAGACGAATCACTAGATATGCCATCTCTAGAATTATCTAGCAACCCCGAACGAGAAATTGAAAACATAGAAATTGAACATGACTTAACAGGATACGAGCGACAACTGCTCACAGAAACATTAAAATGTTTCCAATTGACTAGTGAAAACAAACTTGGTAGAACTACCCTAATAGAACATGAAATTGAGACGATAGAAGGCGCAAAAATGCGGGACTTGCCTATGTACAGATATTCGCCCAGTGTATGGGAGAGCATAGAAAAGGAACTTGAACGATACGAAAAGCTAGATGTGATCGATGAGTGCACTAGTGAGTTTGCTAGCCCATTAGTACCGGTCAAAAAGTCGAATGGGAATATTCGAGTCTGCATGGATTCGAGAAAAATTATTTCAATTACCAAAGAAGACGCTTACCCGATGCGCAACATGAATGAAATTTTTCATAGGCTACAAAAAGCAAAATATTTTAACATCATTGATTTAAAGGATGCCTATTTTCAAATTCCATTAAAATAAAATTTAAGAAACTTTACAGCCATCTGAACCCCAAAAGGACTTTTTCGATCTAAAGTTGTCCCATTTGGTCTGAGAAACGCCCCGTTTACGATGGGTAGGCTAATGAATAAAGCCATGGGATTCAATCTTGAACCCTTCGTATTCATCTACTTAGATGACATAGTGATAGCTTTTTTTTTTTTTTTTTTTCCTTTATTTACAAGGCTTTTAGCCATTGGCTGGTTCGCCTTGGGACATAGTGATAGCTTCAGAGTCCTTAGAAGAACATTTCCGTCTCTTGAAAGAAGTGGCAAAATGCTTAGAGAAAGCTGATTTGACAATTTCTGTTCAAAAAAGCCGCTTTTGTAGAAGGCAAGTCAAATATCTGGGGTACCTATTACCTGAGAATGGCCTGGCAATCGACAGTACAAAGTTAGAACCAATACTTAATTACCCCCGCCCTAAGTTAATCAGGGATGTCCGACGACTTATGTCTTGCAGTTCTACTTGCTGTTGAAAATTTTCGACACTTTATCGAGGGGACAACTTTCACAGTCATAACCGATGCCAAAAGCATCACTTGGCTGTTCACAATTACTGCGGCTAACGGAAATTCAAGACTACTTCGTTGGGCATTAAAACTGCCATACTTTGACTTCTCAATACAGTATAGATATGCCAATTTGCGTACGAAAATAGGTAGCAACCCTGATCAATTTAAAGAATTTAAACTGGTTGGTGGCAAAATTTTCAAATTTGTCCACAACACAGCAACAATTGAGGATAAAAGATTCCTTTGGAAATACTATCCTCCAGAACCAGAAAGGAGAGAGATTATAAAAGGTGTGCATGATCCAGCTCACTTAGGCTACGAAAAAACAATTGCCAAGCTAAAAGAAAAACATTATTGGCCTAGAATAGCCCTAGAAACAAGACAGTTTTGTAAAACTTGTTTGCCCTGTAAAACTTCCAAAAGTACAAACATAAATAGCACCCCACCTATGGGCACCCAGAAACAGCATTGTGACCAACCATGGCAGTTCCTAACGTTGGATTACCTGGGTTCGTTTCCACCGTCAGGTAAAACTCGAAGTACTTGTCTCCTTGTGGTTACCGATGTATTCACAAGATTTGTTCTGGTTCAAGCTTTTACACAGGCAACAGCCTGTTCACTTGTTAAATTTCTTGAACAATCAATTTTTCTTTTATTTGACGTACCAGAAATAATATTGACGGACAATGGTAGCCAATTCACATCAAAAATGTTTAAAGAACTCTTAACACACCATGGAATTACCCATTGGCTCACACCATCCTACCACCCACAAGTTAACAACTCGGAAAGAGTTAACAACTCGGAAAGAGTTAACAACTCGGAAAGAGTTAACAGGGTTATTACAGCCGCAATTAGGGCCACTATCAAATCAAGTCACAAAACGTGGGCAGACAACATACAGAGCATAGCAAATGCGATTAGAAACTCAACGCATGAGTCCACAAAACATCCGACGGACGAGAATATGCATCACTTAAAGAAACTGGTGGTGATCAGCACACCATTTCAGCAAAAGAAAGAGAAATTTTGTACGCTCAAGTCCACTAAAACTTGAAGGAAGCGTACTTAAAGCTATAATAAATTAAGATTTAATTCAAAAGCACCGAAATACGAAGTAGGTGAGAAAGTTCTCAAGAAAAGTACGTTTCTGTCTGATAACGGGAAAGATTTCTGTGCAAAATTTGCTCCCAAGTACACGGAAGCTGTAGTAACAAAAGTCCTTGGGGATAGCTATGCATTAGCTGATAATTCCGGGAAATCGCTAGGTATTTTCCATGCCACATTTCTCAAAAAGTTCTAATAAGAGTCAAACAACCGGAAAAAAAACTAGATTAGTTAACACGAATTTGTAAATAGCACTACACTGAATATAAAACAAAATCTTCACTTAGCCTAGGTTATTAAATAGGAATATCACTGTTGTCGTATTCCGCCATTTCGGATGAAATCAAATTACGAGCAAAATCGCGACTGCTCTAGGCAAATATCGATCACTGAATGACGCCGTTTTTTTATTCTCAAAGCTTCCAGTCTTGCCGGTGAACCTGAGCTAAGGGCGAAGCTTTGCGTTTTTTTTTTTATTTAGCGTTTGAATTCTTCCGTTCCATCTCAGAGCTTTTCATAAATTCTCAACTGCTAAATTACCCCAGTGCATCTTGCTAGAATTTATTGAAAGCTTTCGCTTGAAATATTTCACCAGGAATAGCTGTCAAATCAGAATATGGTTCAGTGGAAGTTTTATTACTTATTTACTTTAGTCGCGTCATAGCAACTGTTATTTACTTCACAGTGACCTACTTTCACTTTTATTCTACGCGTACCTGCCCTAAATTTTCATTCGGCTGTGCAAGTGTCTTATTTACTACATCTCCCTTCTCCTCTACACTTGTCTCACAAACAAAAAACGAAGAAAATCTTTACATATTCGAGTCGTCAAATCACAGCAAGCTGTCATTGTATCATGTTGAACAACATCAGTGAAAAGAAAATTAATCGCATTTATTTCACATTAAGTATTTTAATTCATTTGCATTTATGAGTGGATGTTTCTGAGTTGCTTACAGCATTGGTTTTTCATAAATTTCTATCACTAATCTTCTTCTGTTTTCAGTGAATCATCCTTACCAGAAAACCCGGTAAACGAACTGATCGTCAAATCGTTTAGGACGCTTGATAACGTTCCTTTGTCGTAGGTTCCGGGACAAAGAGGAGTCTGAAGCTTGTTCCTTGGGTTGAGATTCCATCTGCCTTGGAAGAGCTGCATGTCCCTCATTAGCATGTGTTAATTCATCGTTAGATTCATCAGTTGTTCGTTCAGCTGCTTCTCCATCCGATGCCTGATAAGAATAACCGTTGGATTTATAAGTTTCAGGAGCCTTTTTCACTTCTCGCATATTTCGAGCATATTGTATTCCAGCTTTGCTCATGACGACTACCTTTGCACCTTCTCTGGCAATCACCGTATATCGCTCTGCAGAAAATGTAGGATCAACTTTGCTCTTCTTAGATTGTGCCAGTAAAACGATGTCGCCGACCTGGATGTTCGAAGGTTTAGCTCCCCGCACGGAATCAGCGTATGTTTTGCTGGCAAGTTTAGCTTCTGCGTCTTTCTCTTCCAATTCATTACGATCAAGGTCACCGGATCTAGTAGGAGACCACAAGCAAGGGAACGTCCCGCGATACCTCCATCCGACCATCATCTCGAATGGAGTTACACCAAGCCTTGAGTGGGGAACTAGAGTGTTGTGCCGGTGGACATAATTTTGCAACGCAAGTCTCCAATTTATACCGTCAAGCCTAGAAGCCGCCAATGCCTTAATTATACCTTGGTTCTGTCTTTCAACAGAACCATTCGATTGTGGGCTTAACGGTATTGATTTACGTACTTCAACACCCTTACCTATCCAGAACTGTATGAACTCGGTACTTTGAAACGGTGGGCCGTTGTCACTCTGCAGTATAGTTGGGCATCCCCATATTTGGAAAACTTCGCAAAGTGCTTTATTGGTGCTACTAGCATCTAAGCCCTTCATTTCAACAACACAGAGGTATCGAGAATAAGTGTCGATAACAACAAGAAGCTCTCCAGATCCATAATTTGGAACCGAAAGAAAATCAACTTGTAGGATTTCCCAGGGCCCATTAGGTAGATCTCTGCTGACTAGAGGCAATGGTGGGTTCCGCTTTGATAACTGTGCACATGTTTCACAACCTTTCATGAATCGTGACACTTCCGCTGACATCCGTGGCCACCAAAAGAACAGACGCATGATTCGTTTTGTGGCAACTTCTCCGACGTGACCTTCATGAGCCAATTGTAACGCTTTGCTTCGAAGTGACATCGGAAGAACGGTCCTATCATCTTTAAATACCAGCGAACCTAAAGTGCGCAAATTTTTTCTCTGTGCTTCGTACCCACGGAGCTCCGCTGGCCATTTCTTCGTTGCTACTGCATCTCGAACCATTTCCAACTCCTTGTCTTTCTCCGATGCAGTTTCAATTTCGTTCCAGGTCATTTGCATGCAGCTAACATCCAAAGCATACAGATAGTGGCTGTCTTCGTCTTCGTCAAATGGTTTGTCTTGCTGTGAAGCCGGGATTAACCTAGATAGAGCATCTGCAATGTTCTGGCAACCTGGCACATGTTCAATTGTGAAGTCATACGGTTGAAGCCGTAATGCCCAGCTCTCCGCTCTAGATATAGCTCTTTTCCCCAATCTGTGGTTAGAATTAAAAATGAACTGATTTGCCTCCGCATCCGTACGAATAACAAAACTTTTGGCCAACAGGTAGAATGAAAATTTTTCTACTGCCCACACAACCGCCAACGCTTCTTTTTGCGTCTGCGGGTACTTTTGCTCGGATGTGGTTAGTACCTTAGATGCGCATGCGATTATTCTTGGTATTCCTTCAGCGTTGAATTGGGTCAAGATCGCACCTAATCCTATTGGAGATGCGTCTACAAATAGTTCAGTCCGATCATCCGCGTTGAAGTACCCTAGCCGTTTGATTGAAGTAAGTGCTTCTTCTTTGAAGTAGTTAAATTCCATTTCTTCGTCATCAGTCCAATAAAAAGAATCAGAAGAGGCCAAACTCCGAAGGTATTCCGTTTTCGTGGCACGATGAGGAACGAACTTATCGATGAAGGTAATCAACCCTAAGAAGCTCTTTACTTCGGAGCACGTAGTAGGCTTTCGAAAATTTTTAATTGCTGCCACCTTTTCTTCATTGATCAGCCATCCTTCAGGAGTCAAAGTGAATCCCAAAAACTCTGCCGTTTGAGTGCCAAACCTACATTTGCTGTCGTTTAGCTTAACATTATGATTTTCTAGGCGTGCAAGCACTTCTTTCAAGTTTTTATCATGTTCAGCTTTAGTGTTTCCGTAGACCAGCACATCATCCAGATAGTTTTTACAGCCTGTACAGCCAGCCAGGATCTTGCGTTGTAGAGCCTCTTGGAACAGGTCGGGAGCATTACACAGGCCGAAGGGCAATCTCACACAACGGAACATACCAAATTCCGTATAGAAATTGGTGAGATGCCTGGATTCTTCATCAAGCTCCATGTGAAAGAAGGCATTTGACAGATCAATTGTCGAAAACCATTTCGCGCCATTCAACTCTGCCAGAATCTTTTCTAAAGTGGGCATTGCAAATGGAGTACGGTAGATGCATCGGTTAGGACCCCGGAGATCGACGACCAGGCGTATGTCATTCGTCCCTTTCGGGACCACCAACATTGACGAACAAAATGATGTGTCCATGCCATCTACAATAGGTTCGATGATATTCGCTGATACCAAACCTTCCAACCTCTTCTCGACCAACGGCCTGACTGCTAGTGGTATGTTTGAAAACACATTTCTACACGGAGGTTTTGACTTGTCGTAGAAGATTTTTACGGGCGGAATGTTGAATTTGGGAAAAATCTGATTATTTTCTATCGCAGCAATCTCTGCGGCCCATCGGACTGTTTTATAAGAGCATTGTGAAGATTGAACAGGTACCTTCAGGCCAAGCATCAATATATTGTATCTAGAAGAAGTTTGTCTGCTGAGGAGTGCTCGACTTTCCCTGACGACGTAAAACTTCTCTAGCAGCATGGGTCTATCTTCAGTGATGTAAAGGTATGCATCGAACGTTGCGAGAACGTCGATATTTTTCTCTGTTGCATACGCTTTGAGTGGACGGTCTACATAATCCTGGACGTTAAATACCTCCTTACTAAAATCAGGAGTCTCGATCAATTTTTGGAACATATGTTCGGTGAAAGTGTTCACCTGCGCTCCTGAATCGATGAGAAACACGCAATTCATCCCAGCTACTTTAGCTGTAATGTATCCATCATTGAAATCGCTTAACGCCACTTGTATTCGTTGCACTAACTCAGCACTTGTCTGTAAGATATAGGTCAAGTGGTCATCGGTAGTTTTCAGTTTGTCCTCAACTCTGCAATCTATATCGATCGTATGATCAATTCGCATCAATTGACGTTCAGAATTTTTAGACCCACCATTGGTTCGATCAGATGCTGGATCAGATGTACAGTCCTATTAAATAATACATACTATCAACTCATCTCTGTTTAAACTTCGATGACATTTCACTTCGGATTATTTCTTATAATGAATATTCAAATCTTTAAGTATCAATTCAAACTCATCAATTTTATTATAGGTGTTCGAAATTTCAAAACGTTTTCATAAAATTACATGAACCATGTATATAAATCGAATTCAATTTTTAATAATAACGATATTAGGAATTCAAGTTGTTTACAAAAAAAAAAAAACCAAATCTTTAAGTAGCAATTCAAACTCATCAATTTTATTATGGGTGTTCGAAATTTCGAAAGGTTGTCGTAGAATAGCATGAACTATGTATATAATTCTTATTCATTTATAATAATAATAATAGAAATTCAAGGTCCGAAACTTTAGTGAATAAGTCATCATTTACTGTTTAGAACGAGGTTTAGAATTATGTTTCAATAATTTCACTCACTTTTCCGATTTCAACTGCATCTTCCTCCGACTTTCCAACTGTTGCGATCTGTTGAGGTGATTCTTCACGAATTCTGATAAATCGCTGCTCTCTGCCTCGTTGGATTCCTGCTGGACAGGCACGTCGAATGTGTCCTCTGACACCGCAATTGTTGCAGACTTTTCCTTTAGTGTAGCATTCGTCTGATGAATGGAATACGCTGTCACATCTCCAACACCTTGTTCTTGATTGCACTGTATCGTTGCTGTTGAGATGCACATCGTGAGGTGGCTTCCATCCCGTTCTTGGTTTCTGCACTGATCGTTGGTAAGGCTTGTTCCGTGTCTGGTAACGTTCCGAGAATCTTTGTTGACGCTGGTATGGTACAGAAACTGCCGCAACAGAAACCTGGTCTGGTTTTCCTTGCCTGCGCATGACATATTCCTCATTCAGTCTAATCGATTCTATCTCTCTCACTTTATCGATAAGGTCCGAGAAGCATCCCTTCTTACTTAACATCTTCAAGGCTGTTGTTCGCACCTCCTTATCGCGAGCGTGTTCTGCAATCGTAGCTACAATTTCCTCAAACTCTTTGCCATCGTCGTATCCACAAAGTTGAGCTGTAGATCCAACCCTGATGATGAACGCTAAATCAGTTTCATCGTTTCGTTGAGCCATCAACGCCAACTTTCTTCGCATTAGCATGATATCCGAACCCGAGCCAAAGTACGATTTGAGTCGGTGCATTGCGTTGGAAAAAGGCTTTGTTTGTGGATCCGGATCGTCATTTTGGGATTTTGTGTTCCGGAATATCTGCAATAGCTTTACTCCCGCTTTCACTTTGAATACAGTGAACATTGTTAGTTCGTTGTCAATACCCGCCAGGATCATGGAATCAACCAAGAGATCTTTCCATAGTTCAAAGGTTTGCCGATGAATGTCTCCGTCATCCGTCGCTTTACATTCGGGTACATTGATTGATGCCACCGAAAGTTGATTCATCGACGAAAGGAACCTGGACTCTTCTTGACTCGTCACGTTTCGGGCAAAGCTAGTTTGAGGATTCTTCTGACTCGCTCTAGTCGTGTTCCGCGCAATACTAATCCGGGATTCATCGTCACTAGACAAGAATCGTGATTCATCCTGATTTGTACCACTTGTATGTCGCGCGTTGTTGTCCTGAGGCTCCTCCTGAGGCTCCTCTTGATCTTTATCCTGAACCGTTCCTATCGTGTTTCGTGTGCTGCTGAATCTGTTTCCTCCATCGAACCCAATTGTAGTGCTACCGCCCGTAGAGCTACTATATGTCGCCAACTGTTTATTGAAATTGTCGACAAGTAGTTTCTTATCCTTCCTGCTCTCCTTAAGCTTTTTTCTGAGAAATTTGGTTTTTGCTTTCTCGGCAGCCAACAGGCGAGCCATTTCTTTAAACTTGCTTTTCTTCCCCGGCTTCTGTGATGATTTTTCCTCTGTAATATTTGAACGAAAGAAAAAAATATAACTTCAGTTCTAATGTCACCTCAAATATATTATAACAATTCAAAATTGCTCTAAACCCTATCTAACGCCATTTTTTTTTTATATATTTTGTTTTATTACTATTATTCTTATTATACCACGGGATTTCACATGAAACAATTATTTCGTGGCCCCTCGCAAGGTAAGGCATTCTTATTTCCAGTAACTTCTCATGGTAAAGGCGTGATTTTAAATTCCGTGACCTCTCGCACGGCAACCATTTTCCCGTGACCTCTCGCACGGTAAGGCATTTTATTTCACGTGACCTCTCGCACGCTAAAGCCATTTTAAATTTCGTGACCTCTCGCACGGCAACCATTTTTTTTGTGACCTCTCGCACGGTTAAGCATTCTTAAATCCCGTGATCTCTCGTACGCTAAGGAAATTTTAAATTCCGTGGCCTCTCGCACGGCAACCATTTTTCCCGTGACCTCTCGCACGGTAAGGCATTCTTATGTCCCGTGATCTCTCACACGGTATAGCCGTTTTAAATTCCGTGACCTCTCGCACGGCAAAGCCATTTTTTTTTTTATTTTTTTTTTTTACTCACCCTCCAACTGCGCCATGTCGTATTCCGCCATTTCGGATGAAATCAAATTACGAGCAAAATCGCGACTGCTCTAGGCAAATATCGATCACTGAATGACGCCGTTTTTTTATTCTCAAAGCTTCCAGTCTTGCCGGTGAACCTGAGCTAAGGGCGAAGCTTTGCGTTTTTTTTTTTATTTAGCGTTTGAATTCTTCCGTTCCATCTCAGAGCTTTTCATAAATTCTCAACTGCTAAATTACCCCAGTGCATCTTGCTAGAATTTATTGAAAGCTTTCGCTTGAAATATTTCACCAGGAATAGCTGTCAAATCAGAATATGGTTCAGTGGAAGTTTTATTACTTATTTACTTTAGTCGCGTCATAGCAACTGTTATTTACTTCACAGTGACCTACTTTCACTTTTATTCTACGCGTACCTGCCCTAAATTTTCATTCGGCTGTGCAAGTGTTTTATTTACTACAACTGTCACTTGCTCACTTCTGTATTGAAAGGTTGGTGTCATTCCGTCAGCTGATTAGGTCGATGAACTCGTAGCATAATTTGGAAGGAGCAGCGCACTTAATGTTTCTGCGGTAGTATAGGTAGCTAGTTCCAAAATCTGTAGTTACCAGAGGTGGCAACAGTACATTTTTTGCAAAACCATCGTCCAGAGCAAAACAAAACAGCCAGCACACGGGCGGTCATGTATTTCTACATTACAAGCAAATGGTGGAGATAGAGAATAGGAAAAATGTCGTAGCCCATTATTTTTCAAACAGTTTATTGAAATTACATTTTAGCTGCAAGCTTGCGTGTGACAGTAAATTATTAACTACCTTATTTACGCATGATTTTAACATCTAAGCTTATGAGTGGTTAGTATTCGTTCTAATTTCATAATTCCATGCAATGAACATCAAATAAATGCTATAATTGGCCAGAAATAAGCAAAATTCTACATGACATAAATTTATGTCACACGCGTCGCTGGTCTTGTCTGCTTCATTGTGCGCAAATGTTCTGTCGCCTGCAGAAAACAGTTTAGAAATGTCATGACATTTTTCCGCTTGCCAGTTTGTGTTTGTGTGTCTTCACTATGGTCATTGCGGAAAGTATTAAATGTTATGGAAAAAACGTTAAACTCCAGTACCCGTGCCACCACTGGTAGCTACATCAGATTCCATTGTCCTTAAAATACGGAATGATGACTCTGCGGTAGTAGGGTTATTTTGTAGTTTTTCGTAGATTTCTTTAGATTGAAACAAAAGTTAATAGATTAGTAAAATGTTCCACTTGTTAATTGTAAATATACTTCCCAGGTTTTTGCAATAATTCCTCAATTTTTCGAAGAAATTTCTAGCCTCCATAGTTCACAGCGTTATCTCCTTTTGTTTTTTTTTTCTCAATTGTCATGATTTATTTTCGCTTTCATCGCTCTGTCAAAAGTTAGGCCAGGGCTGAATTCAATACTGTCGGTTAGTGCTGCGATGTTATATTTCGACATCTGTCGTTAGATTTTTTTTAACTTTATTAGAGAGATTTTTAGCCGTTGGCTAGTTCATCTCTAAATCTGTCGTTAGAAGGGTGTCCCATAATATTTTTTTACAATGTCCGTCAACACAATGTTGATGTGGTAGAATGTTATGGTGCATCTGTTGAATTAATGGCAAGTGCTAGAAAATCAGTATATTTAGGTCAATGTAATATTGATGTGGTTGATTTCATGCAATCTTTGATGCTTATAGTACGTTCAGACTACAGAGTTATAACATGTTATAGCGCTATCTTGATGGTGGTTTCTGTGTTGCAATTATTTGACAACCGTTATAACATGTTATAACTCTCCAGTCTGGACAGCGTTTTACGTATGATTTCATTGGTGGTCGATCAAGTTCGATAATGTAAAATGTACGTATCGCTGGATTTTCGTTTAGAATCTGTTCAGTTACGTTGTGTTGATTTACGAATTAGTTGGTGTAGTTCCGATGAAGTAAATCATCTCGTGGTACCGATTGAATACTTTGAACTCAACTTGATGCAATACGAGGCAAAGCAACACTTCTAACAATGGAATACAAACTTCACTTAAGACTAAAAAAAAAAAAAAACATTTACGGTTATGTAAATTTGTTCAATCTCGAATTGATCAAATTTTCATAAAATGGTGTGGTGTGATATGTAACGTTGTTCATCTATTTCGATTAGTTTTCCATATGAATGCGGTTTATTTGTTTCGAATAGGTTTCCAATTAAAGGTA